TATATATATATATATATATATATATATATATAAATTCCATTCCAAAAAGGTATCAAATAATCACAGGACTATATCATGTAGGTCAATGAACTCTCAAATATAATTTAGAACATCTTGGACTCTCCAAATAATGTATTTGAAAGGGTATAATGGTTAAAGTTTGTATTTCTGCTAAGCCTTACTGGTTTTTTGCTAATTAATATGGAAATATGAAGTATTACATGTAGACTTACAGAGGATGGGGTGAGTATGGGATGAAGAGGTGTTTGGTTGTATTTTAAGAGATAGTGATAAATTGTTAATGTTGATTGTATTTGCTGGGGATGAAAGGGGAGGCTTTCCTTTGTATCCTTTTCTTTCTCCTTTTTTCACATCTTTAATTTTATTTTTTTAATTTATTTTTGAACTATGTATTTATTTAATGTTACCTGTATAATATAATCAATAAATTTATTGAAAAAATATAAATATAATTTTTGGATAAATCAACTTAAATCTCAAATCCCTTGACTCCTTTTTTAGCAAAAGCAATACCTCTTGGAAGATAGGTTGCAAGATAATTTAGACTTTTCCAGATTAAGAAAAGATAAACATGGACAATATAATAAGTATATTTATAATTGTGTCTATTATGGGGAATATGTTCCTCTCTCATAATTCCAGAATCTGAGAGAGTCAAGTAGAGAAGAGTGATTTCTCCTGATAATGTTTAAAAAACTGGAATAAACATAAAATAGTGACTGGAACCTTCTGGGATCCATTCATGAAAGCTAAATCAATCAGTGACTATATACAACCTTAAGTATTAAAGGCAAAATACCTCTTAATATAAATGTGGGTTGCACAGGATCAGGATTTGAAGGGCAAAATATGATTCTGATAGGACACTTGAGAAATACTTGTGATAGAAACATTTTAAAGCAGCTGTGGGTTTTCTAGGACTTGCATGGCTGTCCTGATATATGATCCTAGGAAAACATGTGTTTGAAACATTTGCTGCAATCATAAGCAGGACAGTGCTACTGCAGTCATATCCTGTTTATGGAATTATAAGCATTTTGTTAGTCATTATGGAAACTGAATGCTGAACTGAATATATTTTGTTGAGATCTATCCAGTTCTTTTGACTTTCTTGTTGGGTAGAATGAGTATGTATAACAAATGTAAATTATTCTATTGGAATAAGGTGTGCTTTATTGCATTTGTTGACTGTTGTTTTATTCATTTGAATAGGGCTATGATTTCTAGGATATATCTGCACACATGTAAAGTTAGAACTATGTTATCTAAAAGCTTATTGGAATTTTTGATTTCTCTTCTCTAACAGATAATGAAATGTTGAAAAATGCATTTGCCCAAAAATTGCATCTGGTTTCAACAGATTGTGCAATCCTAAAAGGCTTAAAACTGAAAGCAGAAATATTATTCTAATCTACTTTTTTGCAGATTGTCTGAATGAGATAATGCTACATACGTACATGAATACATATGTTTTCATATAATTTAATTATACACACACACACACTGCTTTCTATAGAGTTAATTACACTTCCAGTCATTATAGATACACTACCTCCAATTCACTAGTGTTGTATGCCAACTTTAAACAGTAAATATAGTTCTAAGTATAAAATGATTGTGAAAATCCTATGAAATATAAACAGCCTGACTTTATGGAAGGCAATGGGAAAAATAAATATGTTGTTTTTAATCTAAACTAGTGCTTGACACAATAGGGTGATTTAAACCTAGTTGTTCAGAACAGTGAATAATTCAGGGATTATCTGTGTTGACTCTTCTAGCCTCTAAAGCAATAGATTACAGTAGAAACCAAAAAGAATCCCTCAAATCAAAATGGTCTTGCATCTTCCAGCCAATGCCGCTAATAAAATACTTGAGTGTATTTCACCTATCTTTAATTGCATCCAATACATTTCTTAACTTTCTCAGGCATTTCACATTCTTGCCAAGCTTGTCCCTTGGGACTCTATCCATTTAATATGTTCACTGTTAATTAATTCCCTTGATAAAGAAATAGCATCTTCAGCAAAGGATTACATATAATGGATTTTTCTTAAATACGATTGCTGCAAAAGGTGCCCAGATTTTTTTAAAGTTTATGGAGATCATAAAACTTTTTCCTTTGCTTCTATGTAATGTTATACTTGCTTAAACTGTTATATATTATTGGACTGCTGTTAAAAATACAGAAATTGTCTTAAAATGATGGTAACCAATACAAATATAATCTTCATATGGATGAAACATTAATAACAGCATAGTGAGAGACTAGGAAAAACTAGTCACGTGCTAGATCAAATTATAACATATTGTTCTGACTTAGTGCATTATGTGAATCCAGAAAGTGCAGCTTATTAAACCATGATTTACAGAATATGATTGTTCATAAAATCTTAACTGAAACAAAAACATGCATTGGTGAGTGGTGCATGTATACAATGAATTAATTTCAAAGACTGAGGTTCTTATCATTTTATAGGGCACTTCAGGCAAAAAAATCTTTCATATGCACAGGTCCAAATGAAGTTTGGATGGGATTCTAATGGAAGCGTGGAAATTTAAAATGCAAAACCTCTGGTTTTACATATGTTGAGGATGATGTCCCCAAAACAGTTATGTTCTTCTCAAAATTGTTCTCTGTGACACCTGCTGAGTATACACGTTCTTGAAATTAATATAGAAAGTATAGATTTTAACATAAAAAGTCTCAGAGAAATGTTTGTTGCTGAAAAAGCACCTCTGGAAATCTGTGGCAAGCAAAATGTTTACAGATCAATCAAAAGCATTATTTCTAAGTCCTCATACCAATTGAATCCTATTTCTATGTGCTTCTGGTTTTCTACACATTACTCTTTACCAGTTGTGAATATGCCTACCCTTTAGCTATTGTGCAATAAAATAAAAGTGGGACACCACTTAGGGTTGTCTCGTGAGAAACTATGTGTGAGCAAGACAAAATATTAGTGGTAGAGTGCTTTGACTTAACTATTCAAGCCAACTGTACTATCTTCCTACTTGTCCTGCTTGACAAGTTCTCACTTTTTTTTCAACTGGCATTCAAAATTAGATGGTCACCAACTCATAGAGAACATTTTACTTGCAATATAACTGTTATACTTTATATATGTTTCTATTATACTTTTGATTATATTTTAGTTAGAATGTAATCATTATTTCCAGCCAGTATAACTTTTCTAATCTTGAATCAAGTGAGGCTTTTTGGTTTTGTGCTATAGAAGGTAACATTTCTCAACTTAGCCATGATGTTCGATTTCTTTCGTTTACTTACCCGGTCGTTAAAATGACCTTATTGAATAAGCTTTCATCACACCCCGACTAATCAGAATCAGCTAGTAAGGTAAAGCAAGGTAAATCCATGATGCAAAGCCTTGAGGAACATCTTAAACTACCATATACAAATAATATACAAACGTCATGCCCATTCAGTTTTATTAACAACTTTGGTTCCTCTCCGCCGCCCCTCCCTTTCTCTCGCACTTTGATTAAACCTGCATAACTCCAACTATCTGAAACGCTAAGCTGATAAAATGAGGAGGCGAGTTCAGGGAGGCTCCAAAGCTCTTTTAAAAACAATCCCTTTCGGGGGGGGGGGCGGAGGAAAGAAAGAAATCTCGGCATGTTCTATTCATACACCATCTAAGTAAGAGAAAGGTGGCATTACGACCACTGGATTTGGAAACGTCGAAGTGAGGAGGGGGGGGGAGAGAAATGGTAGAGGCGTCAGCGAGCTGGATACAATCCCGCAAAAGAGGAAGGTAGGTAATACGAGGCGGTGTGTCGTGCGCGCGCGGCGCGGGGGCGGAGCTACTCCTCTTTGAACTCGGCAAGCCGAGTAGGAGGAGGCGGTGCCGCGTTGGGGCGTCGGGCCCTCGGCGCGGAGAGCTGCGAAGTGGCTGCTGCCCCTCCTGGCTTCCTTTTGCCCAGGGGCTCCCGACGGTCACCTCTGGAAGGAATCGCGGTTAGGGTGCGAAGGCCAGTCCCGGCTTGGGAACTGGATGGGAAGCAGCCTCAGCCAGGGTGGCTGCAGGGGCGGCGGGCATGGGGGAGCGCCTTAGCACGGCCAGCTCTCCGCCGGAGCCAGACGGAGCTGCCCCCGAGCCGCGTCTCTCGGGCACGGAGACCCAACCTCCGCTGCCCACAGTCAGTGGAAGGACACCAAGGCCACAGCAAGAGGACGATGCTGGACCGCCGCCGACTGAACCGTCAGGCCAGGAAGCCGGCGACGGCGGCGGGGCTCCCTTGGAGGAGGGTCCACACTCGGAAGCACCAAGTAGCAACAGCTGCCGGCTTCCTTTGAGGCCCGTCTCCCGTGCGGAGAGCGAGCAGTCCCGCGACGGCCCACCGCCTCTTCCTTCTCCTCCTCTTCCTCCAACTCCAGGAGAAGAGGGCCGACAAGAAGACCCCCCGCCCGCCGTCTCGCCGCCGCCGCCGCCCTCCCAGCCGAGCGCAGTGGGAGTTGGAGGAAAGGGGACCCCTTCCGGCAACGTCGAGGTCGACCTGTATCTTCTGCCCGAATCTTTCTCCGGGCTGATCTCCGGGGACTTCGGGACCCTCTTGGTGCTTTCTTGCCGCGTCTGTCTGGAGGAGAAGCCCCTGAAGCCGCTGCCGTGTTGCAAGAAGCCAGTCTGCGAAGCGTGCCTCAAGCGCTATCTCAGCTCCCAAGTGGGTACAGCTTTGGCGCAGTTGTCCTTGACCTGCCCTTCTCTCCCCTTTCCCCGGAACGGCTCGGGGAGGGGGGGCGATGATGTCTCCCCCTCCCAACAGGCCCTCGGGCGGGTGGTCTTCGCCGGGAGGCTGCCTCCCTTGTTTGCCTTCTTAGGGCGATCCCGAGTTGCCCGTCCTTCCGTCTCCTGCGGGCGTCGGTAAAATCCGTGCGGGGATTATAGCGCTCGGGACATGTGCAGAATGTTTCCCTCCCAAATCCGCGAAAATCTTCTCTCCACCCGTCCCCGATGTTTTAGGGGACGGAGCTGCCAGTAAGGAAGTCGGGGAAAACCTGGCTTAATCTTCTTCTATCCCTTAGATTCCCACCGTCGTTTTTTCCTATTTCATACGTGACCGTATGTGGAACGTCCCTCGTTTTAACAACACGTTCTTCCTGAGTTGAACGCCTAAATTATTTTTTTGTTATCCTCCACAAGGTTTAGCAACACCTTTTGTATCGGTAACCCCCCCCCCCCAACACATACACTTCCTGTTCTGTATCCTGCATCCCTGAATTTCCTGTTCTTCCTTTCTCCTCTCATTTCTCTTTGGTCCACTAAGCAAAACTTGTAAGGGGAGCAGAGGGGGGGGGGGACACCTTGTTTTTAAAAGACACAAATGTCATGCTTTCCTTGAAACTTCCTGCTCCTGGTGTGTGTGTGTGGGGGGGGAAGGTGATTGGAATGGGCTGGTTGTTTATCGGTCATAGAAGCCATTGAGGGCAGTGCAATGAGAAGATAATGCAGCCTTTTCCGAATTTGAACTTACTTTAGGTTGAAACAGATCAGGTTAGAGTATGGATGGGAGATATTGAATAGAATAGTGGTTCTCAACATGTGGTCTGTGAAACCCTGGGAAGAGGGGCACGATGTCCTCACTGGGGGTCTGCGAAGAAATGTTATGATTTAAATCTTGAGTTAAGCCTTGGAGGGCCATGGTCTGTGGCTACAAAAGGTATTTAAAGGAGGTCCATGATGAAGAAGAGGTTGAGAAACCACATGGATAGAATAAATAGAAAGTGGGGGGGGGGGGAGATGGAAGTGGAAACATCCTAATGTCAAATTCTTCCATGTTGTTGTGGGGAAAATTAACCATGTGTAGTCACAGTAGTAATTGAGAATCAAGCTCAACTTGAAGGATACTTTTTACATTACTCAGTGCTGTAGGAAATGGCATAATTTTCCTTTTCCCTCAATATTAACAATCCATTGCTGCTCTAATGATTGAGTTCTGTTGCAAATCATATAACTGCAGCTCCTCCTATGGGACGCACAAACGCACACGTCTGCATTTTTTTTTCTTTAATGTTAGCTACACTTCGTGTTTTGATTTTTTTTTTTCTCTGCCAAAACTCTCTTCACCAGAGTTCAATTTTTGCATTTCTTTTAGAGTTAAAATCAGTGCGGGGAAAGGAAAAAAAGAGACATAAATGGACTTATTCCTCTGTAAAGAGAGAGAAAAAACTTGAATGTTATAGAAGTTGAAAAGGCTTTTCAGTTTTTAAGAAACAGTTTTCAGGTTAGTTAAGAAAAAATGGTGTATGGGTGAAAGATATTAGTAAAATTAGCAGCATTAGGTTTGTGTCCTCTATAATGCTAGTTTACTTATCAAAAAGTGTTCTTATCAACATGTTGCTGACATGCATTTTTTTCTTTATCTCATATTTGATGATATCATCATAATTTTTACAAAGAAGATTAGCAGAGTTCATACCTACTCTAAGCCAAGGATTGTTCTAACTATAGTTTTCTTAGTTAGATTCATACATTCTGCTAAACCATAAGCTATGTTTTGCAAATGTATTACATAGATTACACAAATCACATTATGAATTAATTTTGTGAACCCAGGTAATTGTAGTTTAGTTAATAAACTGTGACTTAGCAGGGGAGGTGAATCAGGTAATTAACTGACTTTCTCATTTAAAACTTTTAATCAATTTTAATCAGGCGAACAGCTTGGATATGTATTTAAGCAAGATATTCTTTTTATGCTGTAGAATAGCTGTTATTCATCAAGGTCAGTTGAAGATATTCATAAATAATGTTTAAAGACCAAAGTGATCATCTATTTCTATTTTGTTATTTTCTATATGTATCAATGTATTTAAAGCTCTTATATTTTCCATTCATCTGAAAATACTACTAGAACAGATTACAATTATCAGAAATAAAAGAATCTTCAGACCAAATACAGAAAGAAAAGAGGGTAAGAGAAAACAATTTCCTATATATTAACAGCCCTGTGACGTAGGAGCAAGCTATGAAAGAGTGATGTGGTTAAAGGATCTAACAGTCTATAAAGAAGTTGAATTCCGTCTCCATATTTACATCAAAGAATCTGAGAGACTGCAGCAGTTTTATCTATATGTCTGACAAAAAAGCTGTTGCCTATATGTCTAAATTTTTATGGTATATTTAAACTGAGTCATTGGGAAATTGGACAAGAGGTTATTTAATATTTTACATTTATATGAGGCTTTGCACTCTTGTTCTAGTAAAAATAAAATCCTATGCCCAGTTTTGGTACTAATGTTTTTATTTTGTTTTGTTTTGTTGCTTGTCTTGATGCTCTTTTGAAAAAGTTTATTTTTTACTTAACTTGATAGAAAATTCAGGTCTTTCAGGATAGGTGGAATGTTGACTTGCTGGTAGTGTCTACTGATAGGCACACTTCCTCATTTTATTCTATAAAATTTCCCAGTAATTTTTGTTTCCTAATTCCCTCAGAGGTTGAGGGAACTCTGGGCAATTTTGAGACACTAGTGACATTATTCCAAGCTGCTGACCAAGATTTATCTTGAAAACCCTTTTTGTGTTTGATTTTAATTTTAAACATACACATAACACCTGAATTATAAAAAGGAACTTACTTTTTTTGTACACAATGGACAAAAATTAGTTATTGTATACTTATATAATGTAGTTCTATGTTTACTATGCTGGCACTTCATAAGTTCGTATGTTGAAGGAAAATTAAAAATAGTATATAACATGACAGTAAATGTTCCAAAAGCTTCATATTTATTCCTTCCACGTTACAACATCTCTTTGAATAGGTCAGTGTTACATTGTTTATTATTTGTGACTTTCTTTGCTCTAGTCTAGAAAGTACAGAGTGTGTTTGCCCATAACCCAGCAAACACAATAAAATGTTTAAAATACTAATTGGGGAAAGAGGATATCAGTTACTGATGAATATCAATTAAAGATCATACCACCTTGTAGAACTATGTATGCAGATGTTGATTTTAGCTAAGTCTCGAGCTTTCAGTCACTCCAAATCTTAATGTTAGGTCTCTACTCCAATAATAATAAATTGAACTGAATAGGATTGCATTTTTTTGCATCAGAAGTGACAAACAATTATTTTTAACGTACTTAAACTCAGAGACAATCTTTTGAGAGGGTGTATCTGAATTCATCACTTGAAGACTCTGGAATGGGGTTGGGGCTTGAAGTATTTTTGAATACTAGAAACACCGAATCAAGGTCATAATGACCCACAGTAATGCATATTGTTTTGGACAATTGGGGTCATAGGTCCTCACCATGCAATGTTTGTTTAATGGGTAAATATACTAAATAATTAAACAAAAAGTTTTTTTAAAAAAAAATGAAAAATGTGATGTGCATTGTGCGTAGCCCAAGTCCTGGCTTTGTTGTTTTCTGTAGAACACACCATACAAATGCATGCTAGATTAGGTTGGATAAAACTGTATATATAAAGTGATTGGTTCTTGACTTATTTTTGATACACAAAATTGCAGCAGCTCCCTCAGCATAGCTTGGCCAGGAAATAGGAAATATTTTGCATGATAACATTATATAAGCAGTATACTTCAAAACATGGGTTGGTCATGTGCTGTCTTCAACCAAATAATAGGAAATAACTGGATTATACAAGGCAATAATACACAATAAGAAAATGAGACATCATAAAAAGCTGTAATTGTATTTGTTTGCTTTGGATATAGCATTTTATGTGCATCCAGCTTTATTGTGTTTGAGAGGCTTAAGACCATGTGTGGAACAAGGCAATTGTATTTTTGTTTCAACAAAATATAGTTGAACAAACCACAGCTTAATCTTAACATTTGAACCTACATTGTGCCTACAATGAATTGACCCTAGTATGCCTTATATAGTGGCTGAACAAGGAATGGATATTATGGCAAGAATATTCTTCATTTTTTCTTTAGATGTTTCTGGTGAGAAGAATAGAACATACTTAAATCTCAGCTAGAAATAATTCTAAAGCTGCTTCAGTCTTCAGGATTATGTCAAGTGATGGGGCGAAATGTCCAACTCTCTATCTTTGGCAAACATTTTCAAACTGTTTTACTCTTTAATCAAATTTTGTAAGATTCTAAGCAAAAAGATTCCCTTTTCTATTCGGCTGCTGACAAATGACTGTGTCACCAGAAACATTTCTGTGTTTTGTGCACACCGTTTGTTTAATAATAATAGGTTTACCTACAGATAGTCCTCGATTTATGACCTCAATTGAGCCCAAAATTTCTGTGGTTAAATGAAACATTTGTTAAATGAGTTTTGCCCCATTTTATAACCTTTCTTGCCACAGTTGTTAAGTGAATCACTGCAGTTGATAAGTTAGTAACCCGGTTGTAAAGTGAATAGGGCATCCACATTTACTTTGCTCATCAGAAATGGGATCATATGACCGTGGGACACTGCAATGTTATAAATATGAATCAGCTGCCAAGCATTTGAATTTTGATCACATGAACATGGAGATACTGTAAAGGTCATAACTGTGAAAAATGGCCATAAGACACTTTTTTCAGTGCTGTTGTAACATTGAACGGTCACTAAACAAACTGTTGTAAGTCAAGGACTACATGTATGTATATTAAAGAATTCAAATGTTTTATCATAATTCCACTAGGCTGGAATAACAACAAATCTGTCCAGAGTATTCTCGCTATATTAAAATTT